CTACTCTGGAAATGATGATGCATACAATGGACTCAGGACAAGGTGCGTTCCTCTAAGTCTTCTTACCAATATGACCAAGCTGCGAAAACAAAGTCAAACAAATTCTACACAACGAAACGAGACTGCGACCATACAAAAGACCACATCATCTTGGTCCTTATACCTTTTTAATTATTATTGTTATATATATACATATATATTCAGTTTAGTAGAAAATATCTTGTATTAAAAGCTTGGTCTTGTTCGTTTGTTCATATATATTTCATAGATAATGAATATGACAATGATTTTCGGTAAGATTACCTAGTAGATGATGATATGTTACCTCTTAAAAAACGAAGGGAAAGTTATCTCATTATCAATTAAGACAATCAAAACATTCTGAATAGTACGAAAGAAGCTAAGGCTGATTAAGTCGAAACAGGTAAGTCTTTGAAGCAAGTTAAGTGACTAAAGTAGTTAAATTTATACCTCAAACTATTTCAGTTACATAAATCATGAGTAGAGCTAAAATTTCCAAAAAACGATAGTTTAAAGGTAGAGCCCAGAATCACTTATGCAGTAAAAGCCCCAATTGAAAATATTATCCTAATTAAATATAAGATGCAAAATCATGTATACATGGCATCAAAAAATTACCTGGAAATCTTCCTCCTCCATAAGAAGAGAATTAAGTGCCTCGTTGACCGACTTGTTATTGGCATTATTATCTTGTACAAAACGGAGGTATGGCTTTACCAAAGCAATATGTCCCTGCTTCGTGAAGAAGTTTGCTGTTCGAGTATGATCCAATCGAGGTATAAGAACATTCATCAAATCGTTAAGTAAAAGAGGCTTATAAGTAAGATAGAATTGAATGGCTTTGTAGTAGAGTTCAACGTTGGCGACCTTTGTAATGATGTCTTTAAAATGATTTTCACGCCATGCCTCGCTTGGATGCTTCATCATGGTCAGAATGGCGTTATCGTATTCCTCATACTTGTCGTATAGAAAAACAAGCTCTGACCAGAGATGAGCCTGCTCAGCTGCCCTTAGTACCTGAAAAACACGAAGAGATAAACTTGCGGATCCCATGTGACGCATATAGATATAGATATATACAAACCGAAAATATAGAAGTTTCAAATACCGGGGAAGGTCAATTAAGAAAACGGAGCAGGCAAAACAGAGGTCATAGTAGATTCAAAAACCCACCTTTGGAATGTTGACGCGAGACCAAAAAAGCTCGAGATGCTCACGCATTCTATCCGGCTTGAACTTCGAATAAAGAATTGCTAGTTCTGTAAACATGCCCATATGAGCCCTCTCGAGACCAAGGCCGGCCTCCAAAAGCTGAATAAGTTCTTCGAAGTGACCTCTTTGTGTGTAATATATGATTAATTCTTCAAGCTCATCAGCGTGAACCACAATATGCAAGCCGCACATCTGTGCTAGTCTGAATTCTTTGTGATCAACACAAGCAAAACAAACTTCCTTCCATGTGCGTGTTGAGTTGGCTTTTCGTGAGGCATCAACAGCTCCCTGATATTCTCCCAAATGCACCAGAGTTATTGCTAGGCGGGAGAAGTTGCTGACATTGTTAAATAGAATCTTAGCTGCCTCGTACATCTTGGCATCGAAACAACGCTCAGCTACCTAAATAGAAAATAATCGACGGGCCGAATGTATTAATGATAAAGTGCATAAGTACCGAGTCGAACGAACCACACTTACCTGAGTGAGATTTGCGTGATTCGGACCGGAAATAAATTCTTCTAAATCAGCTAAACGATTCGTTTTCGAATAAGAAAATGCCAATTCTGATTCAATAAATGCCTCACGGGTCCTCTTCCGAGCCATTTGTAAGTAACGAACTAAATCTTCCCAGTTGTCAGTATCTGAGGCGATCTTGCATACATCTAGAAAGCGACTGGGGTCCGAGGCGCGTATATATGAATCAATGGCCTCTTTGATGAAGCCATCTCGTAATTGTGCCTGGGCTAGCAAGCTCCAGACAGCCGGTTCGTTACAACGTTCGGCAAATTCATAAGCGCGATCTAGGTTCTTTACTTGATCAATGAGAACCTGGAAAAATATTTGAATTAGTTTGTCAACTTTGTCAAGAGTAATTAGATGAATAGCTTATTATTCCTCAAACATACCTGAATAGCAGATGTGTTTACTTCGAATTTTTTGAAGATTGCAAAAGCTTCCTCATAAAGACCATTGCTGATAGCGATGTTGGCGACGTCAGGCGCATCATAATTGTCAAGTCTCGT